GGCGTTGGTTATTCAAAGACATATTAATTAATGTAAAATTATAATTATAAGCCACATTACAATAATATCTCGTCGTGTTTGCCGGTGAGAGAGGATCGGTCTTGATCAAACGGTCATGGTTTTATGATAAATGGGTCCCAATTGGTTCCTGCGTAAAAAGCCCACGAATGAACGGTGAATATACAAGGTACAGCCACAGACAGCGTGCGAAAGTCAAGAAACCTTCAAACGTACAACATGACGCAGCAGCATTAAAAGGGTATCGAGAAGGAAAATAAACGCAAAGGTAGGGGCATATCGGTCATTGGCGAGTAAAAATGCCCCTCCCGCTTTTGTATATATTAAGTGACCGACGCATACGCACGCATCAGGCTTCACCCGTATATTTTCTTCCTAAACATCACCTCCTCCTCCTCCTCCTCCTTCTTCCTCCGTCGTCCTCCGCCGATTTGTATATAGGATTTTTCTCCCTTTAGATAGCATCTGTTCTTTGCGTAGAGATAAAGACGAGTGTTTGTGTATGTTAAAAGGATTTTTTTTTTTTCCTTTATTTTGTTTTTGATGTTTGGTAATGGCGACGGCGCCAGTGAAGTCGCAGCCTCTACACAACTTTACCTTTCCTTTCCTCAAATGGGGGAACCATGGAATCGCCACTGATCAACGGCGTGGTTCGCCAGAGCTAGATTCTGACTCTGAGCTGCCGCGGCAGCCGCGGGTCGGGTCGCGTTCCGCCCGTGTTCAGCGGGTGTCCTTCACGTCGAAATCCATCGGGCAACACCGACAACAGCAACGGGAGGAGATGTCTTTTGAGATGGAAGAGGAGACGCAACCGGAAAACCAACGGCAGGAGGAGGCCATGTCGCCGGCGAGACAGCGCAAACATGTGGCTGGTAATGAAAAAGAAGGTGATGAAACAGGGGAGGAAGAGGAGGAACATGAGGAGGTGGAGACTGCTAAGAGGCCGTGGAATTTGAGGCCCAGGAAGCCAGAAGCCATGGTGACGGTGGCAGTGGAGAAGCAGAGCGAGATTGCAGTGGCGGCGCCGAAGTCGATGAGACTGAGGGCTTTCGCGGAGAATGGAGGAGGGGTTGTGGAGAAGAAGGAAAAAAGGAGACTTTGGGTAGCCTTGTCGAAGGAGGAGATTGAAGAGGATGTGTATGCGATGACCGGGTCGAGGCCTGCCAGGAGACCAAAGAAGAGACCAAAGAACGTGCAGAAGCAGCTTGATGTAAGGGATCTGTCTGGGTTTCTTGTTTCTTATGTTGTTTCGTAGGTCCTATTTAGTTTTCTGGTTCTGGGTTCTAATGGGGGTACTTGAAGGTTTGTTTATGGTGGGCCTTCCACTTGTGATCTTGATGTGATTGGGTGTATGACTTTATGGTTTCTGGTTTCTAGAGCGTTTTTCCTGGGCTGTGGCTGGTGGGTTCGTCGGTGGATGATTACCGTGTTGCTGATTCTTCGGTTAAGGTCTGATGTTTCTCTGTAATCTGTATGTATGTGAATATTCTTCTGTGTGCATTGCCTTGCTTTGTGGTTGATAGTCAATTTTTTGCAGAAATAAATCTGCTAATGGGTGCCATAGACAAGAGGTATTGCTTCACTCTGAATTTATCTGCTTCTTTACTTGTTCTGTTTTGTTTCTTGTTGATGTTTAGCTAGAATTTGGTGATGGTTTTCATCAGGAGCAGGAGTATTGATCTTAGTAAATGTGGATATCTGGAGTGCTTGCAGACGATGGAAGATTAAGCAAGGTAGCACAAGAGACATTGAGACTTCAATTTGAGGTATAATTATAGTTAATACTGTAGACATGGGAAAGTTCGAGGAAATATATCTGGTTTTTGTTCATTTGCATTTGTATTGTGCAGAGGCATGGGGATGGGGATTTAGTGGCAGAGTTTAGTATGCTCGCATTTGCTTAGTAGTTTTAAGTGTAAAGTATGAACACAAATATTATGAAACAGAAATACTATGATCGCCTTTTGTTTTAGTACAATATGAAGAGTATGTTGGTATTGGGAGGTTTTAGAATCTCTGTTTGAGAAATTTCGAATTTTTTAATGGTTGCTTATATTGTTTGACAGGCTTCCCTACATGTTGGGGGCCAGCACAACAAGCTCTGTAGTTAGTATCCAGTCCCTTGTCCGGATATGATTAAGATTAGTGGCACTGCTTCTTCCTACATCTGGAAGAGCTCTTCCTTTATTTATTTGAGCTTCATCAAATGAAGTCCCTGATGAGGTTGAACAATTTATAAATTTTGCCCATCTTCCATGATTCCTTGCAATATATCACTGATCATGGGCATCGATATTGTTTTGGTAAACGAGAACATTTAGCTAATGGTCAAAGCATTGTTATTCAGACTAGTCCACATTTTCTTGATGGTACAAGACTACCAGATAGAATTATTATTTCAAAACACCAGGCATGAGCCACTTGCCTTTATGGGTTCAAACTCAGAATTTGTGGGGCCATCCCAAGGTTCTTCCTCTCGTGAGAATTTTCTACCATTTTTAAATCCTGGTCTCGTTCCACTCATGCAATGTAGTTTACAGCTTGTACTAGAAACCTTTCCACATCATTTGCCAGGCCAAATTCTATGAAATGCTTTCTTCTCTCTTTTTGTTTGGGTATGATGTGGCCTGAGTATTTGTGGCATACTCAGCATGTTAAAATCGATCATGTTTAGGTTGGAATGTCTCTTCATTCCATCAAGAGAACCTTGGTTTATTATGAGTCTCTACTTGCTCTGAATTGCCTTCATGCGGGTGCATTTGCCAGTGGCATTAGGCAAATAGCCTAGAAATGAGAAATGCTCGTGCATATAATGACTTCAAAGTTCAAATATTTTCAGTTTAGATCATCATGAGTACTCATGCTGTTCAAATTGGCCCTTGAACAGATTATTATTTACTTATGAAAATGAAGTACTCAGTCATCATCTACTATGTCGGGTACAAATGTCTTAATACATGAATGCACCAGACACCATGTTACTTCACACAACTTGTTTCTGTCTCCTTGGTAGAAATAGTTGTATTAGCCGACTTTTAAGTTTTCAAGCAGTCGTTGATAATATTTAGGTATTATTAGCATTTTCATCTTCAATGCCCCCAAAAGTCATAACACATATTGAAGTCTTGGAAGAACATTTCATTTTCTCTGTTGAGACTTTCGATTTTTGTCATTTGATTTCAGAACAAGTAAAGATCAGTTTTACTGTTAATGTCGATGGTGGTTGAGACTGATAAATCAATTCTCTTATGTGGAAGTTAGATTGAGAGTGATGAATCGATTCTCTTATGTGGTGGTTAGATTTGGTTGGCCTTTTTTTATCCTAAATCTACACAAGGATGATCTTTTGGTGATGAAGGTTTAAGAAAATTTCTTCTCTTTACAGTAAAATAAATGGATTTGTTCATATTCAATGACTGCTATCATTTCTTTTTCAATATTTTCTTTGTCATTATTTTCCTTTTTCGTCTTTTTCATTATATCATATTTATATGGTTTGAGTGGAGTATGTTTGATATCAAATAAACAAAAAAAAATCTTGTTAAAACATGCTGCCAGACCAAAAAGAAAAAGAAAAAGAAAAAACATGCTTGATCTTTTTTTTTTTCTTCTTTAAATTAAAAGGTTAATTACTTGATATTATAGAAATTTGAACTTTTAATTTTAGCTGCAAATTAATGCTTTTAAATTAATGAATACTAATTTGAATAAGTAAATGAAAAAAGCATGCTACATTCTGTTTTGGATATTTTGTAGGCTTATTAATTTTAATTAAAAAAATATTTTTAAGTTCATAAATTTACGAAATAATTGCTGTATTAGGAAAAGTCAAACAAATATTCATGTGACCATTAGGGCCTAGCAATTGGTTAGGCTGCCTACTTAGATCTTCAATTGATGGGCTTAATTTACGATTTGGGCCATTACACAGCTAATAGAGCCAATTATTAAGTCCTGAAAACATAATCACGGGCTTATTAAATTGGTGAATTTGTGATTTTTTTTTTGTCCATCCATTTGGGCCCTTCTAGGGGACACTTCATAAAAAAAACCCAGTGGACCAAAAAGCAGCCCAATTAACAGCTTGGGCCTACCTTTTATATGTTTTAGGCTCGAATCACGTCAACCAACCCACACACGTGTAAATTTAATGTCTTTTTATGCACGTGTGGACGGTGCGGTTGTTTGATTCTCTGGCCTCTTTCTCTCCCTTTAGCACAACACATGAATGAATACGACGTCTATGCATAAATTCTCGATCTGAAAAGGGCACGATATTTGTTGGGAGGTGAAAAAGAAAAGGCATTTGCTTTAATATCGTGAAAGCTCCTTTACTTCAACTCCTAGTTTACCAAAGTAACAATCCTTACAATTACAGATGGTAACTCGAAAACACCTTGACAGTTAAACTCAAAAAAAAGAAAAAAAAGAAAAAAAAAAGGAGCAATAAGATCGAACCATTGATATTCTAGGAAAAGATGTTGTATCATTTTAAGTGTTCTCTTTTCCTTGTCAAACCACAAGTTTTTATTACAATGATTTGGTAGATATAGGGTTTTAGTAACTTGATTTAAAAGAATCAAATATCGAGGACTTAAACTTTTGTAATAATTTGTGTTTTTTTTTTTATCTCTCATGGCATACCAAAAAAGTGTTGCAAGGTTTTCTTTGATTTACCTATACATGTCTGAAACAAGGTTTTATACAATATGAAATCTCTTGAGATATCATAACCCAATATATCTCAAGGTTTAATATGCAAGGAAGAGTGATTCATAAGTAATGAATCATTTAGTGCAAGAAAAGATGTGAAAAGTGAGATGATTTTTAGTTTTAGTAAAAAGAGGTGAAAAAAATAATCTAGGGTATCCGAGAATATTTTGGTAGAAAATAAGATGTCACTTTGAACATGTAAAAAGCTTTCATGCCAGCTTGGGAATGTTTTCCATCCCTTAAGGTATATATATAGTACAGCAACTAGACCACGTGTTCCTTCTCCAATTGAGATTCCACATTTCACAAAAACCTTTTTCAAAAAAAAAAAAAAATCCATTTAACAAATCATCCTTAATAATCTTTCATTCTTGAATTTGAAATCAATATCCTAATTTAATTTATTGGACTTTTCATTTATTTGGGGTTTTTTATTTTAATTTTTTTAAGAGGAATAAACTCTCCAAATGGGCTCCCCCATACAAAAAAAAGGGGTTAATGTACCATGATGAGATGGAAACAGCTTTCATGATTAGAAGCAATGGCATGATTAGATTTGTCTAATTAATTAATTTTATTAGTACAATCTTAAATGGTTCACCTTATAATATATTCAAATTAACAAACATTTAAATGATTAAATTATCATGTGCCATCATACTCTCTGTCACCTCCAACTATTTATAATAAGATCCAACCAACCAAACATGCTTCCCATATTAAATGCCTCTAGAAAATAAAATGTTTAGATATGATTTCCGAGATTATCCTTCCCATCTCCACGAGGAAGTAGGATTTAGGCCATTTGACATTAAGCTACGAAGGGCATATGTGTCCATTTTGTGAATCCGTACAATCCGAAGCACGTGCATTCCAACTTGAATTTGCCATCATCGTGCAACTGAAATACCCATTTAAGCAACGATCAGCATGTTGATTAATAACATGGCGATCGACTAGCTCACCTAGTCACATGGCTCGACACATGGGATCCACCTATTCATAATTAGAAGCACTTTGTAATGTATAATTTTATCTAATATAAAAATATCTGATCTCTTGACCTTCCAAAAGGATGGCAACTCCATTTAATACATTGATTTGATTCATGATGACATTTAATATAATGAACAATAAAAAAGGATTGAACTATGAAAGGTAGTTAACTACCTCTATAGGTATAAAATGTTGATTAGAAAATTTAAAAATTAAATCTATTGATAAATAAATATCATTTTATTGATCAGATTTAAAATTTAAGTCTTGAGAGTCAATACTCAAAGAAATTAATTTTTTTAAATGTATTAGATTTATGTAGAGATACATTATTTTAAAATCGTATAAATTAAGAACAATTAAATTCAAAATAAATAAAAATTCATCTAAAAATACTTTAATTATAACTAGTCATAAAAATAATAATAATAATGAACTACCTATTAGAAAAGTGCATGTAGGATAACTTATTGGCAAAAATATGCTTCTTCATATGTAAAGTTAACATTCTAACTCTTATTTCCCCTCCGAATAGTCTCCCCTATGAATCTATTTGTGTTTTGGTAAACCATGCCTAGATGTTTAAAGTGAAAATTCAGCCAAGTTGATTAAACAACATAATAAAGCGCTAGCAAAACATAGTTGGCTTCACAGTGAACCACTTTCCAGGTAATGGTGGCACATGCACGTGTGTTGGAGATCTCAAGATCTTTTCATTGATGGGGAGACGGTTGGGACGTTTCCGGCCGGTGAGGAAGGATAGGCCAGTCTGGCCAGAGGTGAAAGAGGCACAGTTGGGATAATAAAAAAATGGTCAAATTAAGTGGCAAATGATTTGGCTTTGACCGTTCAATCGGGGGGGGGGGATTAATCCAGCAAGGACAGTGTAAATTTTGACCGAACTGCACGTGCGGGTACATCAAGAAAACACAAGTGATGTGCTGTCCCTTTGTCGCGGCGTTGGTGTTTGTGCGCCATAAACGATCACATGTTAGGTAATAATGGACACGCAGGTTGTTGCAGAAACCCCAGGTTAATGATATGCCATGTCAATTTTTAAGATGCAGTATTGTACTTTATTACATGGGTGAAAATTTTTTTCCTCAGATTCGCCTGAAGGTTGTAATGAGGGAGAGTAATATGGCTGCTAACATGTTAGCAAAGAAAGGGGTCCAAACCTCTTATGGCCTTCATATTTTGCATGATTGTTCACCTGATGTGGATCTTTTGTATTTTGTTGACTCTGTAGGGGTTTGCTACCCCAGATTTTAAGTCTTTTATGGTATATTTCTCCTTTATCAAAAAAAAGAAAAAAAAAAAGAACATAGGTGAAAAATAATATATATGATTTTTTTTAACCTAGATATATCTCATAAATTAAATTATTATAAAATTTTTATATTAATTAATATAAAAGAGTATTGTGTAGTTTAAATTATATTGAATTGTACAGTATTTAATGTTAAATATGAGATAGATTTTTTTAATATTAAAAGTTTTTTATTTAATTATTTTTATTTTATATTTTAATATAGTTTAGATTGTAAAATAAAAAATTCTAATTAGCATTAAAAAATAAAAATTAATTTTTATTTTTATTTAAATAATTGCCTATTTAAATTGATTCACATAATACAGGTGATGAAATTAATAATATTTTTTACATTTTTAAGTACTAATTAATGTGAATATAATATAATAATTATACTCTTAACTTAATTTCTTTAAATTTATTAACTACTTTTTAAAATTATCTATATGGTATCAATATTAAAAATAATATTTGCTTTTATAATTTTTTATGAAAACTTATTATAAAAGAATGTACTTAATATACTTTTAACTTATTCCTTACAAAAATCATATTATAATTATAGTGAAATAAAGAAAATAATCATTAAATAACTTGTAAAATTATATAAAAAATTATCCTTTAATAATATTTCTTAATTATTAGATTAGGAAAGTTTTGTATCGTGTATGTACAAATTATTGTTTTACAATCCAATAATAAAACCAATTTGCCTTCGAAATTATGATTTTGATTGTTTGAAATATATAAGCTAACAACGTGAAACAAAAACAAAGATAAAAGAAATGGTTGGTTGATATTTGAAAACCAAAAATCAATCAAGTAAAGATTGAGTGAGATGAGAACGACTAGACGATGACCAATCTACTAATTGCCAAGTAATACAATAGTCTATAATTGGATGGAGCTTGATAATAGTTGAGTACTTAACATGCACATGGTGATTTTTTATTGTTTTATGTTTTTTTGGGTTATGGTTTTCATGGAGTAGCTAAAGGTTCCTACAAAATATTTGGTAGAGTCATGTACCCATAAGGTTCATAAGTTTCTAATTAATAAGTTATCTTAGTTAAAACCTATATAGTTAGTAAGCTACTCAAATTAAAACTTTGATGTTAGCTTAGTCACCAAGACTAAGTAAAAGATATGGTACAAATGACAATAAACCCACGTCATGCCAGGTAATATATGCATAGATTACCATACCACACTACTTGCTAATTGTCAGAAAATGTTGCTCATCTCTTTTTTTGTCTTATACCCACAAATCTTACTCGTATGAGACACTACACCTATCACATGTATTATTTTGGCAAATAAAAAACTTACAACATACAAAATTTGATAGGCTTGCCAATTACGTGATAAATCAAGAAAGGAACTACAAAAAAAGTTTCCTCACTCCATTAAAGGTAATCCTTTTTTAGTCCTTCCCTTCCAACCTTCTTCCTTTCTTCCCTTACCTTCATTGGACTTTACCTAACTTAAGTTTTGGAGGGCGTAGGTCAGAGACGCCTCTAGTGCCCACCCTAATGAGTTCTTCCTTTTTCTCATGTATAGGTAATGTAGTTGTTTGAAGGAAAATGATTTGAGAAAAACATTTTTTATACTTTTTTTTTGTACAATTTTACATATCATTTAAATTATTAACTTTTTTTATTCATTTGGGATCCGTGATATTAAATGTATTTATTTATTTAATGATATATGAAAGTTATATAAAAAAGTAATAAAAAAAATTATCCTTGTATCACCACCTTTACTTGAAAACCTCTTCCCACACTTCCGAGCAACAAAATCAAGAATATCAAAACTGATCAGCTAGACTAATTGGCACTCACTAAAATTCCAACTACGTAATCACACCATCTAAATCATTGAACAATGACTAATACACATGAGTATATCATCAATGTGAATTGGGCATAATTGTTCATGGGTGGAATTGTATCACCCATCATGGTATAACCAGAGGTCCTTCTTCACGTGAGAATCACGTGGATGAGATAAGGGAGCAACGGGTCCCATCATAAAAAAATTGCACCAAATCTTAAAGACAAATTTACAACAAGAAGTCTCAGAAGAAATGTATTGTTACTAGACCTACTACAAAGAGTATTTAGGTACCAAACCATCTATAAAATTTTTGGTGGTATTGAGTGAGAATTGGTGATGATCTTAAAATGTTCTGTTATACACTATTATTTGCCTTGTATTTTAAGATATTTGTTAATGAAACTCATTTTCCATAAAAAAAAAATTATAACAAAAAGTGTT